TGCAAAAAAAGTACCCGACAAAGATAAATAAAAAGATGGTTTATATAGATATTTCAAGTATTATATTTTAAAAAATATAAAATTAATTAGGAAAAAAAAATAAATATAAGTGAAGGTAGGTTAGATTAAATAGAAAAGATATAACCGGTGTCTTTTTTAAAATTTCATAAAAGTAAACAGACGGCCTAGCCCGACCCCCGACCCGTCTGCAAAACAAAGAACCCAATTGCACTACCGTCTCCACAGTGCTCTTGCTAGCCGACGGCTTTCTTTCTCCTCCTTCCTCCGTCTTCCGCCTCCTGTTATATCACCGGAGCATCATTCTACACTCTAGCCTTCATCTCCGAAGTTCACAAAATTTTAAAGAAAAAGCAATACTATGGATTTCTCAAATCAAAACTCTCCTCAACAATACAACCCATATATTAACATTAACGACAATAATCCCCTTCAATTCACCATTCGTTTACCCCCTTCAAACCCTAACCCGAACTTTGCTTCTACTTCCACACAAATCCCTAATGTCCATTTTTCCAACAGCGATTCTATCTCAATTTCTGACCCTAACAATTCAGTTCCCAATCACTTCTTTTCCCTTTCTATCCCTCGCAAGCGTCGCCGAGGCCGACCACGCAACACGACGCCGTCTGTCAACCAGGTATATAACTTACCAACGTCCTCATTGTTGAATCATTCAAATTATGACTTTAGCAGCAATGGTCATACTAGTTCAGCAACACTGGGAAACCAAAACCTTGGTACTTCTGATGTATCCGATGAGATCATTGTGATTAATAAAGAGGCTACGGCAGAGGCATTGATTGCGTTGACAGCTGGTTTCCCGGCTGATTCCTTGACTGATGAGGAAATTGATGCTGGGGTTGTTTCTGTAGTGGGTGGCATTGAGCAGGTCAATTATATTTTAGTTAGGAATCATATTATCACGAAATGGCGGGAAGATGTATCGAGATGGGTGTCGAAAGAAATGTTTTTGGACATTATACCGGATCACTGTAAAAGGCTATTGGATACGTCTTATGATTACCTGGTTTCGCATGGTTACATTAATTTTGGGGTTGCACCGGCTGTTAAGGAGAGGATTCCTGCTGAGCCTAGTAAGCCGAGTGTAATTGTGATAGGGGCAGGTCTAGCAGGGTTGGCTGCAGCTAGGCAATTGTTGTCATTTGGTTTTAAGGTTACTATTTTGGAGGGGAGGAAACGTGCAGGTGGGAGGGTATACACGAAGAAGATGGAGGGCGGGAATAGGACTGCCGCTGCAGATTTAGGGGGCAGTGTGCTGACAGGCACACTTGGGAACCCACTTGGGATCTTGGCGCGCCAGCTGTCATACACGCTTCATAAGATCAGAGACAAGTGTCCGCTTTATAGAGTGGATGGAAAACCGGTGGATGCAGATTTAGATCAAAAGGTGGAGATGGCCTTTAATCGGCTCTTGGATAAAGCTGGCAAGCTTAGGCAATTAATGGGGGAAGTTTCTCAGGATGTTTCTCTTGGTGCGGCTTTGGAGACCTTTCGGCAGGTTTATGGGGATGCAGTTACTGAAGAAGAGCTGAGCTTGTTTAATTGGCATCTTGCAAATCTTGAATATGCAAATGCAGGTTTGCTTTCTATGCTTTCTCTTGCATTCTGGGACCAAGATGACCCTTATGACATGGGAGGTGACCATTGCTTCCTGCCGGGAGGAACTGGAAAACTGGTTCAGGCATTGGTTGAGAATGTTCCGATACTTTATGAAAAAACTGTGAATACCATACGTTATGGTAGTGAGGGAGTTCAGGTTGTTGCTGGTGGCCATGTTTATGAGGGCGATATGGCTCTATGCACTGTGCCCCTTGGAGTTTTGAAGAATAGTTCTATCAAGTTTATACCTGAGTTGCCTCAAAGGAAGCTGGATAGCATAAAGCGGTTGGGTTTTGGATTGTTGAATAAAGTTGCAATGCTTTTTCCTCATGTGTTCTGGGGAACTGATCTCGATACCTTCGGACATCTCTCTGATGACTCTAGCAATAGGGGTGAATTTTTTTTATTCTATAGCTATGCAACTGTAGCTGGTGGTGCCCTCTTGATTGCTTTAGTGGCAGGAGAAGCTGCACACAAGTTTGAGACTATGCCTCCAACTGATGCTGTGACAAAGGTTCTTCAAATTCTTAAAGGTAAATCATTTTTTTTATTGCCTAATATCAGGACACACCCAGTTTACATGTACTTGTACATATATTTACTGGTGTACATGCCTTGAAAAGCTGATGTAGTTAAAAGCACTTCCATTTTGGATTATTGCGTCCAGGCATATATGAGCCCCAAGGAGTTGAGGTTCCAGAACCAATCCAAACCGTCTGTACCAGATGGGGCGCTGATCCCTTCAGCTTAGGTTCCTATTCCAATGTTGCCGTAGGCGCATCAGGAGATGACTATGATATTCTGGCAGAAAGTGTAGGAGATGGTAGACTTTTCTTTGCAGGTGAGGCCACCAATAGACGCTATCCAGCAACTATGCATGGAGCCCTTCTTAGTGGATTTAGAGAGGCTGCAAATATTTCTCATTCTGTGAGTGTTAGAGCCTCGAGGTCAAAAGTTGAGAAAAACCCACCAAAGGATGCACATTCCTGTGCTTCTCTCCTTGCAGATCTATTCAGGGAGCCAGATTTGGAATTTGGAAGCTTTTCGGTAATTTTTGGCAGAAATAAATCTGATTTTAAATCAACTGCAATCTTAAGGGTGACATTCAGCCCCCCAGGAAAGAGAAGTCATGAAGGGCTTAGACCAGATCAACCACACACTAATAAGCTACTCTTTCAGCAGCTTCAGTCCCATTTCAATCAGCAACAGGAGCTTCATGTTTACACATTATTGAGCAGGCGACAAGCACTAGAACTCAGAGAAGTAAGAGGAGGTGACGAACTGAGGTTGCATCATCTTTGTGGGAAGTTTGGTGTTAAATTGGTTGGAAGGAAAGGTCTGGGACCATATGCAGATTCTATTATTGCTTCAATTAAGGCTGAGAGGGGCAATCGTAAGCCTGTATCGAGCTCATTGACCCCAAAACCAGGTGGGTTAACAATTCTTGCATGGATATCTCATGGACTGAAAGTTTTCGCCTATTGCAGTTTATACACTTAAACTGCACCACAATGACTGATGTTTTCTGTTTATTTTCCCCTAAAGGTACTTCAAAGTTGAAAGCAGCCTCTTTGAAACAGAGGATGGTTCGGTATGAGCATAAGATTTACAATTTAATTGGTGTTTTCAACACTTAATGTTCTACAACATTTATAATTCATGACTCTGAAAGAACTTCCCCTTGTTGGAAACTTTTCAGGAAAGCTAAAATACTGAGTAAGAACAATGGGGCTGGCCTGCTGAATACATTTGGTAGAGCTAAAGCAGATGACAGCAGCAACAGCTCTAACGATCCAGCAAATCTTGATGTGGGCTCTAAATCATTGGCCACTGGTAATGGCTTTATTACTCAAAATCTGGGCAACAGTGCTAGTGTTTCGAGCAATTGTGTTAGCTCTGCATCTGTCCCAAGCACACTAGTTGAAGTTAAAGTTGAAGACAGTTCTACTTTTACCTATCCTTTTGTGGAAGGTAGTGCTAGTGTTACATTCCCTCCAGATGCCAATATGGTCGCTAGATCAGTGGGCTACATGGAATCTGACCTACCCCCAATATCAAACATTGGAGGTACAATATTAAACAGTGATGGTGCATTTATCCATGCTTCCAATTCAGATGTTGGATCTATATTTGTGGAAAGTATCACTGGTTCCTCTACGCTCAGTTTGGATGCTGGGGAAAATTTAGTAACCAATTTCAGCAGCTCAACTCTCGAAAACATATATGAAAATAACATTTTTGGATTTGCTCCACCGCCGAGCACAAACTCTGGTAGTTGGTGATTGACAGGGGTAATTGTGGAAGCAGAGAGTAACATAAAAAATGGTCTTCCTTCAATGGTAATTCTTTATCAGTACGTCCTTTTTTCCTGCTGTGAACTTGATCTGTTTTTGCTGATTGTTTCAATACTGTTTTGCAGGTTGAGATTTGATGCAAGTTGAAAGTAGTTGAAAGAAGATTTTCATGGTTACTGTATTACATGTTTCTTTTCTCCTACCTACATCTTCCCTATTTACAGCGAGTAAGAATTTCTTTTGACACTGGTTTTTATTCAATCTGATGTTTCCTCTGTATCATGAAGTAAACTATGTTCTCCTGTATAATTTGAATGTGCTTTTTCTACAGGAACCCAAACGCTGTGAATATTCTGCCTGGGGCTGAGTCATTTTCTTTCACTTCCTGATGGCTTTGGGATGCAAACGCCTATACCCCCTTTTTGACATGTTTAGAGCTCAAATACTGCTATCAGTGGTCATTAATCAAGAAGAGTTCACAAGGCAGCTTTTGTTTCTTTTCGTCCTGTTCCATGGAGCTGCCTTGGTGCATTCTTTGAAGGTTGAAGTGTGTGCTCTGGGATGTATTTCAGCTTGCATTTCATCCACGATATTGCTGTGCAAGCTGGAAAACTAATCGAGCAATCTGCTTCCGATCATCCTGCTCAATGCCTGTGGGTTGGGTTTTGCATTGCCTCTTCAGCTAACACGTGTTACTGTGTTGGGAAAGTCTCGAGGCAGATTTTTTTTTTTATATTCTTTTCATTTTTTTTTCCTGTAAACAAGTGTACAGAGGACAGAAATGACAAATAATTTATTCTTTTGTTAACGCAAAATGTATCTGGCAAACCGGAAAAAGCATGTTTTAACTACATCGTTGACCTTCTTAGGCTAAATTATTCCTCATAGTCCCCCAAGCAATCAATCTCCAGTACTTTTGCTGAAGAAAATAAGGGCACTGGAGATATACCTTATCGGTTTGGCTCCAAAAGAAAACGAAGGGTTGGAGACCCACCAAATAGGATCATCTCAATACAGATATGTGATGCATAACAGTCTCCCCTTCTTTGCCTCTAAATAAGATCCTGCAAGAAACTCATAGTTCTTTTATTTCCAGTATGCGTAAAACACAGGAGAAAATCTGACCCTCTCAACTCCTATCTCTTGTTTAAACTATGCTACCTTTTCTCTTTATGTATGTCCACAAGCCTTTTGATACAATGAGAAAGTGTGCGAGAAACAAATACGCTACAGCAGAATTTGAAAGAACGTCAAAACAAGTCAAAACAATCTTACATTCTAAAGTATCCTTTCAACCCCTTCAATGTAGCAAAGACGCCCCAAAAGCAAGGCAGGCATTTATAGGTTGTCTGCACTGCACGTGTTTGTTCTTAATTACTTGTATAATTCTTCATCTCTCCTAGCCATTCCTCCAGCTTAGCTTCTCTATCAGCCTTGAATTCTTCATATTTCACAGCCAAGGAAATCAGATCATCGTCACACACGCTTCTGTCAACTGGCACTTCTTGTGGCTCCTCAGCTATCTCACTTGACAATGGCAATTCAACTGCCTCAGCCTCAGGCATACCAGAAGAGATACTAGCACCTCTATCTGACAACGAGGGATCAAGATATGAAATTGATTTCTCATCTTTGATTTCTCTTGATTCTTCGGAGGATTCAACCTGAGGCCATTTCAAATTGCTAGCCTTGAGCTTTGCAGACTTTAAGACATTTGACAGATAACTAGCACCTTTATCACCATCTTGCTGTGGTGAACTTGATTTCCGACCCCAGGCAACTGGTCCCCAAGATCTTGTTCTCCCCAACCGAAAAGCTGAATCTGAGCTATTTATTAATCCTCTTTTTGGATGTTTGGCTGACATGATAGCTAGAGAATTTTTAATGTCTTTAATCATCTCATCAGCAATGGGACAGCCGCATTCTCTCATTGACCTTATAATGGAAATAGAATCTTCTGAATCTTCTGCATGCAACGTCATCTCACGAGATCTCTCAGTGACATTGTTCTTGAGATTACTAAGGTTTGGTGCTGCATTCCGTGTATGTTGCTGAATGTAGAAAAGTCCCACAGAGGGTTCATTTGCAACATATTTTATCATCTCGGCCAAGCACTCACTTACATCCACGAACCCATCCGCTGTAGAAAACTCCTGCATCTCCTTGAATGCAAATTGTTCTCCATCACTGATGGTTTTAGAGGACAGAAGTGAGTTCCATTTTGTAGAAAGAGAGGTCCCATCGCATACCAATCAGAGAAACTTTCAGATAAAATACAGATTTGTCATGGACTATTCATCAATAGCTTGTCACATAACCCACTTGTAATTCTTGTTTCAAATGAGCAACAGTTTTCAAGCATGCAACAATGGAGTTTTATTTAAAAGATAAGCCATAATGAATTAAAGCTGATCTTTATTTACTCCTCTACTACTATATGCATGCATAATTTGAAAGTGCTACTTATCCAGTCCCTATAAGACATGAACACATTTAAAAGTCTGCTGAGGATGTTTTACAATTCAATCTGCTGTGATATTTGGATGGCATGGATACAGCGAGAATCACAAGAAGAATTGGTCATGTGACTCAGAGGGTGAGGGCGAATCTACTGTGCTTAAATTAAATTTTTTTTTATCACTTAAATCAACACCCCCACCCCCAAAAAATAAAAAAAGTACACGTCTCAACTTCCAACAATTTTACAAATATGGCATTGACGAGTGTATTGAGGTGCCTATATGTAAATATATGATTGGAAGGGCTCCAGACTTACTGAGATATTGCCAACTCTAATTCTAATTGGAACAGCTATGGTTGTTCCTAGAGATATTGGTAACCACCTATAAAAGGTTAAGAATGTAGAAGATGCAAATTCGATGTTTCTTTCTACCATTTCAGGTTTTAAGGACCTTTCACATATGCAATAATAGTTATGTACCAGAAGCTGCTGATGAGCCAATGGATTTCAAGGAAAGCTTCTTGAGATTTCAATGAAAGAGGCATGAGACGAATAGTAATCAAAGGCCACTAATAGGGTAAATTGCAACTAATTTATTGCTATAACAATATAGTTACCAACCACTCAGTATTTCTCTGTTGAAGAATTTCTAGACCCTTCCCACTTCTTCCTATTTCCTTCTGATGATATACCAATTTAGACCAACCTCATAAAAAGGCTTTATCTTCCCTCTTAAATATAAGCAGCACTATAATCTGAAGTAAAAGATGGATTCTTGAGTATTTTCTAGGAAAAGCAGGAGTAAATTACTAGCTGCTCCTAATTGGATAATCAGATTCTCAGCCAGGAAACAGGCAATAATACCTTAAGCGATGACAAGCAAGCCTCTCTAGTATACCAGTACCCCCTCTGGGTACATAACAGAACTATAATGAAGTGGGGAAAAGAGTAATATAAGGGAAACCTATGAAGATCACAGGATTGTAGTGATATCTTACTTGAACATAGATCATGCACCACAAATTACAATCTGATGTGCAAAACCTGCAAACTAATTGAAGAGAAGAGCTTAGATGGCACCAATCACAAAGAATTTCCTTCAGAACTTAAAATTGGTGATATAAAATTGATGTCAGGTTTTATGATGCAACACTAGTAGTTTCAGAAGAAAAAGGATAAGCATGAAGGCCAGGCCACTGACATTGGTTGTGCTACATGCTTTACAATGTCTAAACTGAAACGATGTTTCCTGATTTTATATCAAGAGGAACAATTACTGTGCCACATTTTAAAAATTGAGTCTTTTGAAATTAATTATCTCAAACTACTTCTCAAGTACAAGCTAAACCTCCTTTCGAAAGAATTCTACAAAGCTGAAAACTTTCACAAGAAACATGGCCCAACCAGACAGGTCCTCTAGTTCTGCTAGTACATCTTATCCAAATCTCTCTTTATATCTGAATGAAACTGACAAATGTATATAAACATGATTATTTGCTAAAATTCCTATACAGATGTTAAATGCTACTTCATCAACCTTAATTGGTTATTCACTGTAGGTATTCAGCATATTAAGAAGCCAATTACTCCCCCCCGAAACAATATGGTAAAGAACCAAATGCTGACCTCGAAAAAACAGTGAAAGCACATTCTTGGAGAACAATAAATCAAGGGCGAAATACAGGAAATTTCAAGAAACTACTCAAAAAATTCTACTTCATCAATATATAATCGGAATACAAGAAAATCCCCCAACTGTCAAAAATCATTAGCTCATTCCTTCAATCTATTCAAAACATCAATCAAGAAATTACAGAGAACATTATAATCAGAATTAAGAAAAGCCCAATTGTCAAAATGCAATCTTTAGCTCATTCCTTCAAACAATTTAAACCACCAATCACGAAACTATAGAGAACCCATCTCCCAACTGCTCTCGCCAACCTCAATTCAAGCAAGAAAGACAACAAAATCAGACAACTATTCTTCTAGAGGAACTAGACAAGAAAAAGAAGGAGAAGAGGGACGAATTACTAACCAATAGGCCTAGACGAAAAGCTGCATAGTATTTGGCAAGCTTTATCCAGAATTGGGTTAGATGAGCATGAGGTCCGCAGCGGCATTCGATTTAACCAGCTGACTTTTCTACCATTCTTTTACTAATTGCTTATCGTCAGCATTCTTGGATTCATAAACTTTTGGGTTTGCTTTAATCAGGGGTTAACTGACGACAGACAATGGCAAAAGGCCAAAGGGTTATTCAACTTTAATAATTAGGGATAATTGCAGAAACCTCCCTTGAGGTTTCTGACAATTTCACCTAGCTCCCCCAATTTTAGAAAATTACACTAACCTAATTAGATTCAATAAAATGACTACAATATCCTCTACTTAATAGATAATTTACCACATATGTGAGATACAAAAACCAAATCAAAAGTAAAATATATATGTAAAAACCTGCAACAAACCGTCATAATCCCCAACCCTATTTTAATTAACAGCGGTCTCTTTTTTTTTCCTCCCTTCCTTTTTTTCTAACTTTTATGATTCTCTCGTACTTACCTATAACCTCGCAGTCTATTCCACTCATCAATTACACCACCATGAAAATCTACCTGAAATTGTCAGAAACCTCAAGAAAGGTTTCCGAAATTATCCCTAATAATTATACATTCGTTGTTTAAAAGTTAAAACCACTAATTAAGTACTATGTTGTAATGATCGCTCTATACAATATTGTTTTTTTCAACCTGAAAATGATCGCCAATGAATATGATTGATTCAATAGCAAAACTAAGACGCAAAAAATCAAAATTTAAGCAAAATTGAATTTTTAAAATCCCAATATGTCAAACTTAACATATCTAAAATACCAACATCTTAAAATCCTAGTTTTGGAAGAGACTGAAACTTCAGTTATCAAATGCCATTGAGGAGTTTTAAGGAGTTGATTTTACTTGCCTTAATTTGATGAAAAAAAAAAACAAGTTTCTGACTAGTTTTTCCCATATTTTTAAAATACAATTTCACTGTATTTCTCATTTGAGTACGCCTCCTACCAACTTAAACCCATATAAAAAAGAATCAAGAAAAGAAATAGATAATGTTTAGTGAAAGGATAAAAGGAAACTAGAGAAACAGAACTGATGAGATTATCTGTCTATTCATTGATTCCTTCATGGCTTCTCGTCTGATCACCACCCATCGAAGCTTCTGCTACAAAGTTGAGTTAAACTCTTGTAGACTATCATTTCCATCATCAAACCCGCATGTGAACTTTTGCATTCCAGCTTTTGTTTCATGTAGAGGTCCCTTTACTTGTTTGAAGCTTAACCACTGCCTCAAGCTTAGAGCATCTTCTGAGGGTATGCATATATGATCTTCTTCTTTACTTCCGTTGAGAACATCGACTGCTTCTCTTAATTTTTGGCTGTTTATGAACTCTGATGTCCTAACTCTTAATGTTTAACAGGGCTTCCGTCTGAGTTAGTAGATGAAGACTCCAAATTTGTTCCTCTAAATGCTGAAGATCCAAGATATGGTCCACCTGTAAGTTCTAGTTAGTCCTTGCATACTAAGCAAATGTTTTGTATTAAGGAAGAAAACAAGAAAAAGGTAACGTGAATGGATTTTCAATAGATGCTGTCTAATTTAAGGAATGCGTGTATTGACAAGAATCTATTAATGCAAATCCAGATATACCGGAATAGCACTTCAATTGTCAGAAAAAAAAATAAAAATGTTGCCACCGGTCATCCCTAGTAATTTTTTATTTAACACTACATTGGAGATATTTGATAATTAGTTTGAGTTACCTGTTGAGATTTTGTTCCTCCTAAATTGAACAATTCTATGACATAATAACCAATTTTAAGTTTCTTAGATGGCCAAATGTACAGGATTTGGAACGTTGCGTTAATTTGGCTACTGCATACGAGTTTATGCACTTGATATGGACTTTTCATGATTTCTCCACTAATGCTGTGATGTAAATTTGGACGAGTTACTGCATCAAGAAGCCTATAGATTTAGTTATACTAGTACTTTTAGCTAATGACACTTTATGTCACAGGCATTATTGTTGCTGGGGTTTGATTTAGAGGAGGCAGTGAAGGTACTTTACGGTGGCATTTACGTCTTCTGATTGAGTTAAATAATTGGCTAGTTTTTGACGATGACATGCCAAATTTCCAACTTCAGTATTGTTTCTTCTTCTGGTTATGTTCTTTCATTTGTCGCCTCTTCAGTCAACTGCATCCATTTTTAACACTACACAAACTGCTCATGACTAGTGCTTACTGCTTTTCTGAGTTCTAGCACAGCTATGATCTTAGTCAGAAAAAAAAATGATTATTAGAAATGACTTATCAAGTAGAAGAGAACTAGCAACGATAGTTGTGCCGAAACTAGCATGCAGAAACAAAATCAAATGCATGTTTAAGATCAAGATTTCGTGACTGAAAAATGGGGGTTTCATCAGCTGGAAAGTATGTTCAAATTTTGTGATTTTGGCTTTCGTTTGATGGGGCAATTTATATGGGATATGAATTGAAAAGGATATATCCCTTAATGAGCACTATCAATGATATTTTAGCTATGAGACAATAAATTTAGCTGCACTCAATCTTGCACTACCTGCACTGGCTAATACTCTTCACGGAGGCTCCTTCTTGACAATGTACAGATAGTGTTGCAGCTCTAGAAGCATATAGACCCAATGATCTTTATATGCAACAGTACCCATCCAATTTAATTCATCAATCCACCACGTGTTTGTGTGCGTGCAGATACAGCAACTTCTTAAGGAGTTAGATGGTGATTTCCTAGAGGTATCTCCATTGGTAGCTAGCTTCTCTCAACACTTCTCTTTCTTCTTTTTCCACATGCAAGTTAAGGAGATGAAGAGGTATTCAAAGTGGCTTTTGGTTGGTGGAAAGCTTTTGCAAACAGTTAAGAAATAATTTTTTTTCGAATAAAATCTTCAAATAATATAAGTCCTTTTCTAAGTCATTAGAGAATCCATTGAACTCAAATGACCATGTCATTCTGGGAAGAGGGGGGGAAAAGAGATAAAAGGATATTATGTTTCAGATTTTATACATTCCTAAGGCTGTGTGAAGTCATTAGAGAATCCGTTGAACTCAGAAGACCATGGTCTGCCAAGTGTATTTCTGGCTTCTGCAAATGTTGGCGGGCTAGAGAAATGATTCTTCTTGATGCATGCCTGAGAAGTAATGGTTTTGGGTTAATTGAGGAAAGTTCATCTGCATTTCTGATTGTATATTTTGGTTGCAGGTCATTTTTTGTACTGAAGACATGATTACTTGCTGTCTGTGGGAGGCAATGAATACTAAGCAACCTAATTTGGATGCTGCAAAGGTTGGATTTTCTGCTCTTAAATGTCAAGTCTTCCTCCTTCTGCGACCGATTGAAGCTATGCCAGAAAGAAAGCTATTTCCATAAAAAATGATACTATATGGGGCTCGCATATATTTTTTGTCCACACAAGTCATTATCTTGGATGCTTGTTTTTATTGTCTTCAAGGACTGACGGGGAGGGGGAAGAAAACATATTCTGTGCATCTGAAAGTGGAAAGTTTAGGTGCCCTCTAATTCGTTCTAGAGTTGCCAACTTGACTAACAACAAATAGCAGTGGAATTAGGACTGAACTACAGACTGTAGTACCTTGATAAGAAGTTCTGATTGCAATGCAGATCAAAAGAATGATTGTGGCTGATGTTAAGTGAAGGATGTTTTTGAGTGCAATTCTATCCTCTAATTTGGCAACTGAAGAATCGTACTCTTAGATGCTGCATACTAGCTGGTCTTACAATCATGTAACAGAGAGTACATTAATATTGCATATTGTCCGGCGTCATAAGCATTTTGGTATACCCTGCAGATTGCAAAGTCACTTCCCCGAATTTGCTTCTTGTCTGGTCTCACAGGAGAGGAGATGATGATGTTTATTGATGCCTTTCCAGAAAGTGGTACACCCTACTTTTCACCGTAATAGAAATCTTTGGTTGTACAAGTTAATTTCGTTATGGTCATTGTTAAAGCTAAATTATAAGCCCAAAAGGTATCTCGTGAAAATATGGCCTAGTTGTTTCTGATACCACGAATTCCTTTTGTGTGCGTGTGTTGGTTTGTGCGCTATTATTGTCAAAGAAAATGGCTTGTTGAGCTAGGAACTTCATGGTACCGAAAGTCTACAAATAGCCAAGTTGACTAGTGTTGATATTATCCTATCCCAATCTCAATCTTCACCTATGGTTATTTAGGATGTATGCCTGATTCGGAAAAATTTTCCCCTCTACAACTGCGAAGCATCTGCTGAGCATTCTGCATTTTGCATGTCCGGTTCAAGTTTCACGTTAGTGGTGGTTCTTTCAGTTTTCTCTTCTAATTTCAAAGAAAGTACCCAGAAGCAAATTCCATCTGGTCCTGTTGTTCTGCATACAGCTTAAAAGACTCGTTCCAATATCTTCCATTTCCATCTGTGTAGGACTAGAACCGCCAGTTTTTGCTGCTCTTGTCCCGAACAGTGCTGATAAACCGATACAAGAGTTGATTGAAGAGATCATGGGGGACCATGAGATGATTGTAAGTTCAAACTTGAGTGTTCATGAATTCCAGATATCTTCATAACCTGCCTGTCGTTTTGTTCGTGACAGCTTCTTATTTATCTATGCAGGCATCCAGAAAATCGACTTAGATATGGATATTTGTTGGTGGATTCTCCGAAGTTTAAACATTAGTCGTACGGTATGGCCCCTGCAAGCTGAATGAAACTCACGAGCTTGTACCGGGAGAAGAGCAATATATAGATGACTATACATGAATTCTAAAATTTTATAGAGCACTGACATCTGTTATCTCCAGCTTAACCGATTTCACGTTATATACAGCACTGGCGGTCTACGACATTGAGCATGACTACTGCCGGTTAAAATCCACTGAAAAGCCTATCCTGACTGAAACGTGTACTTCAAATGGTTGCCTTGAAAGTTTAAGTCAAATCGTCTTGCAGGAATTGAGAGAACTAATCAGGCAACATATGCACTTTACCCAAAACTCTGCGTTGTTGAGATCATTTTTGTTGTGAGACGATGAAAATACAGATGGCATTAGCAAATTAGTCTAGAAGAATCGTGATGCACATTCCCCTGTAAGTAACATTAAGCTTGCGAACAAAGCGAGCATCATCCAATCTCTTGACAATATAGAGGGAGACAATTATGAGATACAAGTCTATAACATGAATTACAAGCTGCAACATAAAATGGTGCAAAAAACCACTCACTCAAAGTCAGATCTCATCATTAAATAAGATGCTAGCGATTTCAAGTATGCTCATACATCTCTCAGTAGTCGTATGATTCACGGATAAAAAATGTAATTTGCCAGAATCTCAATCAAGATCTTGATAGGCATGTGCAGATTGCCTTTGATGTAGTATAGTAAAAAAAACGAAGCCTTGAAGGCAGTTGCAAAGCCTACAGAAAACTTTTCTTGGAGCAGCCAACCAGCATGTCCAACCATATTCTACCTATAGCATGACAACTGATCAGAAGCCATTTCAAGCATCCAGAACATGAAGTATTCAATTCAAGAACTCCTCAAAATACAAGCAGAACGAAATAATTCAATGTAAACAGTGTATATTCACCCAAGCATGAGAGATCTCTAAAACTAACCAGAATTCTTGAACTTCCTCTGAAATCAACATAAGCAGGAATTTATTTAAATTACAAAACAAAGAATCTATGATAAATCATTTGTATCAACTGGAACCAAAAAGTTGCACAGTTAACAAAATTATAGCAAGAATCACTTTGGACAACTCAAATCAATAGCCATAGGAAGCCCAATAACAAACCTCAGTTATAGATTTCATGTGCTAGCATGCCTTATCCTTGACAGCAGGACTCACTTGAAGCAGTCTTATACACATTTCTACAAATTTGTACTACCTTACTAGCTAATACTTAAACTTGGAAGCGCTCACTCAAAACCCAAACTGAGCTGCATCAAGATTCATGGTGTTGTAAAACTAATCCCTTTACTACCTAGAAAGTCTTTTTCTCTTCCGACAGCATATGTCGTGAGAAAGTTCAAATTCAGCCATTTTAAACAACGATTAATCTCACTGCTCCAGAACAAACTATCGGCTTAAGTATCTGGAGCATCATGTGATCAGTGAAGACACCCAGCTTCACATGCCACATGATGAAAGGGCATTGTTTGAAGATTTCTGGTTTACACCATGTGGGATAACTTAAACGCATGTTAGGGTTCAGAATGAAACCATGGACAGTGAATTCACCCAAAAAATTAATTTACTAAAAACTACAGCCAATGAAGACCATAGTAAATCTTCTAGTAATCTTATAGTCCACAACTTCACATACAATCATTAGATGCAAGAATCAAGCATCCAAATAAGATTAATACTCTGCCTCAGCTAAAACTTATCTTATTTTATAGATGCAGAAATTGTTTCAGAGTTGAAACAATTTCAAAAACACATATGGTCATAAAGACTTCGAGAATTCTTCATTAAATGAAGCATAATTTTTGTCACATGCCTTATCACCTTATTTGCAGATAATCCTCTGTAGCGGTGATCTTGTCCTTTGTCAACTAAGCTTAATCTCAAACCTGATATTGTGGATGTGCTGAAAGTTGGAAGCATGGAAGCAAGAGAAAATGCAGCAGCTACCCTTTTCAGTTTGTCGGTTGTTGATGAGAACAAGGTTGCAATAGGAGCAGCTGGGGCCATCCCAGCACTTATTGACTTACTCTGCCAAGGGACCCCAAGAGGAAAGAAGGACGCAGCCACTGCCATATTTAATCTTTCAATCTATCAAGGAAACAAAGTGAGGGCAGTTAGATCAGGGATTGTGCCACCATTAATAGGATTGCTGAAGGATCCTGGCGGTGGAATGGTAGATGAAGCTCTTGCAATATTGGCCATACTTGCTAGCCATCCAGAGGGGAAAGTGGCAATTGGTCAAGCTGACCCAATCCCGGTATTGGTAGAGGTCATTCGGACCAGCTCTCCACGCAACCGGGAGAATGCTGCCGCTATTCTGTGGTCATTGTGCACAGGCGATGGGCAATACCTGAAATTAGCTAAGACCTTGGGGCAGAAGAGGTTTTGAGGGAATTGTCAGAGAGTGGCACTGATAGGGCTAAAAGAAAAGCAAGCAGTGTATTGGAACTTCTCCAGCGAGTTGAACCAGTTAGTTCGTGACATTCAGTTGAAGGTTCAGATATTTTTTTTCTTTCCAGATAGACGAGTTTAATGTGCCACTTCACTTAGCTAGTCACTGCCCACGTAGAAGTTCCATTGGAAGATGTAGATGTATGAAATCACATCCTGTATAAAGCGATAGAATCCCACCACCCCGCGAGGGTTCCCTTGCCTCAATCACTTCTTGGTTATGTCAAAGCCAGTCCTGGAATTGAAAGGTATGCTGAGAAAGAGGCATGAAGGGAGTTAAATGATTGATGTGTAAAATTGTATCTTGACCATGAGGAAGGTGGTGGATTCCGAGTTAATTGTGAGGACATCTATTGCTGATCCTGGAGCCATGGAATTGACATTGGTCAAAACAGGATGCTTTGAAATGCCAAGGGAACGCTAAGCCTGGTTGTTTGGCTGTTAATTTATATTCCAGGTGGAAATTTCAATCCTCAAGATGTGCATAATAGCTGTTTCCGTGTATTAAAACTTTTTGCACACAGAAACAGGTCATTTTTGTTAAGATCACGTAATTGTTAAAGGCTTTCTGTTTTACTATTTCCATCATAGCGTCAAAATGCAGTGCACAGGTTTGATGAATGTTACAGTGAAGTCAATTGTACTGCAACACTGCTTATTATTATCTTTAAATCTTGGGTTAAAAACAAAAAAGTCCCCTGTGGTATATCTAATACACAGAAAAGTTTTTAATGATCTCAAAACATACAAAACGATACCTCATGTTTTGAATTAAATTGTAAACTAACAGAATTCGTTAAATTTAACGAAAATGACGATTTCAGCCGTTAAATGTATCGGATTCCGTTGAGTTTATCGTTAAATTTATCGGATTTTGTTAAGTTTTTCGTTAAGTTTACCAGATTTCGTTAGGTTTAACGAATTATGTTAGTTTACTATTTAATTCAAAATATGAGGTGTGATTTTGTATGTTTTAAAACCACGAAGGGCTTTTATGTGTATTAGATATACTGCAGGTCTTTTGTTTTTACCCTTAAATCTTTAAAGCGTTTCGAGTTATATGACCTTTCTTCACAGTAATCATCAATTACCGCTCATGCCCTCATTTTCATGTCATTGACGTAATATGAATTGTTTGGCGCGGCCCCGGGGGTGGGGAAGGGACGAAGAAGAAGAATCCCCTTGGAATCTCGAAGTTGAGGTTCCTGTGATTCTGGCGGCTGTGAGAAACTTGTGTAATGGATTCTTGAAAGTAATCCGTCGAGAAAAATCCTTTTCCAGCCAATAAATAATCTTATCTACCAGCTTCCTTGCCCTTTCAAACAAGAAATAATAGAATCAGGAAGCTCTTCGTCACCTGCCAGCAAAGCACAACATAAGGAATGCGTTTCCAAAATACGTTTCCCAAAGCAAAGGGAATAATGGGGAAAAAGGGAAGAAGGAAAAGGAATCCTTCTAGTATTATTGCAGGCGCACACCTTTGGGTCAAAACGAAGACAAAAAGATTTGTTTTCCAAGGCAAGTGGTACAGAAAAAAAATTTAGGGGGCCGGGGGGGGGGGGTGGGTTGTGTGTTAAGAAAAGCAACTAACATTAAATTAATCAGAGGTATTAGTTACTGTCATGCTGGGGAATGAAACGCCCCTGAGGTAGGGAGAAGGTAAACATGTTCGTAAATGAAAAAACTGATTTTCTTCTGTTTTGTTAACGTGTCATGCATCTAATCGTAATGGTATATACACTGTTAGTACATATAAGATTTATTTAAAAAGAATTAATCTTTTATACACTGACAGTATATGCACTATCACAGTTAGATACACGACACATGCAAAATTTAAGTTTTAAATTTAAATTCAAATTATGCGTCATATATCTAATGGTAAAAGTATACATATTAATCAATGTATTTATTTTTAACCATGGACTTTGTTAATGTTTATGGTATTGACGTTAGCAAAATTGATACAGTAAATGTGTCAACGAACTCATGTAAAACGGTCAAACGTTACCCTCGTTAGGTAAATGATCCCCTCATTAGAAGGGGTTACCAACTTCATTCTCTCCAGAATTTGCTTTGTCCAAAAGTAAAAGTTGAAATCCAAAACCTAGTATGCAAAAAAGAATTTCAGCGAAACAAGCTCTTGTTTTACAAACATACGTCCATGTAGTCGAGAAATGGAGATTAATTTTCTGTAGGTTCAAATCATAATTACTTACGAGGTGAAATACATCCAACCAATACATACTACCAAGATATCCCGTCCAAAAAATTTCATATCTTTTGCCAGCAAAAATAGACATGCCGCCAGATGAGGTGGTGAATGAAATGACACCAAATTTCGCACTATACCTGCTGAAGTGCAAACCACCTGGCAAGCATTCCTTGTGCAGAGTAAAAAGGGCTAGAATTCATTTCTTTATGTACAAGCCCATTTACGATCCATTGTCAAAACGAACACCTCACGTACAAGTCAAACATCTGCTTAACAATCAAAAGGAAGCAAGCTGGCTATGATCTTCCGGGTGACAAGCAAGGAGCAGCCTCCTTCCTCTTCTGCAGCTCACTAACTGTCCAAAAGGAGCTTTAAAAGTTATCCCAATTTCTCAACAAATGGTTCAATTAACGTTTGACCATTGATGATCTTCGTGGTTCCTATAATTAAGTCATATGCCATTCCCTCCTGCACAGTGAAAATTGCACGGAGACATTTAGCGATATTGACAAGATGACATGGACAAGATAACAGCAGCAGCAGATGCAATGGTGCTCGAGACAACAAGAAATTTAAGGTAAAGGTTGAAAACTGGAGACAAAGCAGGCCATTTCATAGTTCTTTGCCTGCAAGCAAGCAGTATCATATAATGCAAGACAGCAAGAGATTGCACTTTTCCATTTTGTCTTTTGCCGCCTAAGAGTACAAAGAAGCACTAAAGGTTTCCAAGGCCAAGGGTGGTATGACCAAGGGAATTAACACCATCAACGGAGCACAAGCAGACGCTGTCTGGCATATGGTTCACTGTCGTGAGACAGTATGACAATGAACCATAACCTTTAGTGATTCACATTTGAAATTACTAGAAACATGAAATTAGTCAATTGGCACTCCAATGAACAATACCAAAATAGTAGTACTAAAATATTCTTGCATTTTGATATACCGAAATGAGCACTAAAAGTAACTCATGATCTGTCAAACATTAAAAGAAAAAGTCATTTGAAACCTATGACTTGCAATTGAAAACATACCTGAGAGCTGAGGAAACGAAGGGCAGCGATTTCTGCAAATGTAACCCCTCCAACGAAAACAACAAGGACCAAAGAGCGCCTTCCATCTCCAACTCTGAAATTTCAAAAGGTGTCAAAAAGAGAATTTGGTTCAACTCTTAGCTTTTGAAACTCTTTGGCTCAAAATCCCTATCTCCAACCACAATTGGGAGCCAATACAGCTTTCATAATTCCAAACCTCTAATCAGATTCATTTAAAAGAGAGCATAAACAAAACCGAGAGAGGCAATATAGCATCAGAAACAGGAAGGAAATTTTTGTTGCTACCTAAACAATGTATTGCAACTCTAGACCAATGATCCTGCATTTGTACAGCATCACAGGATCCTTCTTCATATAGGAAGCAAACAATTATGACAACATCAATGTACTGCCTGAAAACTTACTTGGCTAAGTTGAGCACAGAACTGGAAATATTGTCATATGAACCGCCAACATATCCACTCTGTTGATAAGATAAACCATAGTAAGAGTCTTCTGCAGCGTCCATATCATAACAGGAACATGGAGTCTAGCAGTAAAAAGAATGAAAAAGAAAGTCAAGGCAAACACAATACTGACTCTCTTGGTTTCTGTATGTGGTCCTGGCAGTAACTTCAGTATATCTTCAAGAGGGCGCCTGAAAATTTATTTCACCACAAGATTACAGAAAGCCATATCTCATACTACTTCAAATAAGTTATATCACTCAATAACGGAAAGAGGTTTGAGAAAGTAGAATAACAATGAATTCCTAAATAATTAAAGTTATGGTTTGCTCTTGATCCAGAAAGCGAACTTCAAGATGATGAATAGGACACTCAATTCAAAACATTCGAAGCATCCAGTACAGTAAAGACCTGTTTGAAGCTCTAATTTTACATGGTATTCAAAGAAAATGCATTTTAAAACTCTTTCAAAACTCAAGTAATAGAAAGATAAAAGTTTTTTTTGGTCCTCAATTTGAATGAAAAACTAGAGCTAACAATTCCTTGAATAACAACATCTTTTCTCAAAATATGTCAATAATTTATCTCATGGTATTTAATTGACACTTCCACTGAAACTCCATGGAGATACAAATTCTACTCTAATGCTTGATCTGAAATTCAAAAGGCACATCCGTATTCAGACTTGTTGTCTAAAACCATCTGTATTTAGACATGCTGTCTAAAATCAACTGTATTGAAAATACAGCGGTTAGTGTTTACTTCATCCAAGCACCAATGAAACATACACAACACTACTACTTTCCAAGAGAGGTTTTTCAACACCTGTAGTAGTGAATACAGACATTAAACATGCATCAGATGTTGTAGAAGCAGAAGCTTCCACAGTTGAGAGTGACAATTGAAGTGAGAAGAACCAGTTTGGCAGGCACTTATTGCAACTCCATAAGCAGCACAAGTCTATATCTTCACTAGACCTTTTACCCCTAGTGAATCTTTTCTCTTCTGGCCACATAGCTCTAAGCCATAAAAAAAAAATCCACTGAAGAAAACTGGAGTTTTATTTTGTTCATTCCTTTTCTTCAGACTAATAGACAGTCCACTTTTAGTTCTCTAATATAATAGCAACTAAGATCCCCAAAAAAATAGCTGCAAAGAAAATACGTTATGTTTATATACCTACTTTCTTCCCTGCTCCCTACCCCCATTTTGGAGCCTTTGG